TACAAGATTTAGTGAACAAGACAAAGTTAGACCCATTGCAGCTCCTACATCTTGCCAAATTGTCTAGCTTTACAGCACTCCCAAACCACATTTGCATTTAAGGTCATGGGAATGTGAGCAAGCTTTGTCATCACAAGTCCAAAACATTAAGGTTTTTTGTGGGTTAGAAGTGAGGCATGAACTCTGCTTCACACATTAACTGCACTGTATACAATGCAAATGGCATTGTACTAGGCTGTGCATTTTCCAGACTTGCAGAGCATTCTAAATTCGCCTTCTGCCAGGGTTAGATTGAATTACTGTATCCTTCCACTCAGCTCTGCCTTCTGAACCTGCCTCCCAGTGGCTTCTGAATGTGTGGATGAGTGGAAAGCCTGCTTGTGGAAAGCTAGCAGAAAGCCCCCAAACAGTGAGGGGCTGAGACAGTCTGGGATCCATTGCATCCCAAGCTAATCCCACTGCCATCACGTAACAGCATCAATCCTGATCAGATTCAGTTGCTGAGAGAGCCTGGAGCTGGAGCAGCAATTGGGCTCAGTCCTCTCCCACCTTCCACTGCAACTACCACGAACAGCTGGGCTGTGGAAATGACAGCGGTTCCACTCCCCTGCAAAGCCCTGCCAATGGTGTTTAGATTGTGTCCTAAATCACATACAGGACATCCTCCTCACCAAACTTCACAGAAAGTCCCTGGAATTGCAAATATTCCTGTTAATTGCCTGGTTCATATACACCAGCATTAGGACAGTTTGTTTAACAAATCACACAACCTGTACTGCAAATGATCAAGCAAACCATGGTTTATTTCTCCAAAGGTTTTTTTTTTTGTTTTCTAGCTGTTTTTGTCTCATGCCTTTGTCTTTTAGTGAGCTCCTGGTGTGGGATGGTCAAACAAACCACGGTTAAAGAAGCAATACCGCATAATGTCAAGCTATAGTTAAAACAAGTGAAGATTTGTAATCATGGCTTCAGATCATGGTGTTGGCAGTAAAACCATACGTAAGCTGCTGGGCAGGGCTCAGGCATAGCGCTAAGCCATGGTTCAACAAACCATAGTTATGCCATAGTTTAGTGTTGCATGTGTCTCAGCAGCTTGGGACAAGGCAGATTGTTCCTACTTTCACTTCAGGGTGGGAATTGGGCAGTGAATAAGAGTCAATGCCTTGTTAAATAATTCTCTGTCATTTATTAGAATACTGTAATGGCTTTTAAAAAAGTAATTACATATAGGTCAATTCATCCCACGGGCTGTTTGTACCCTTAAAGGTAAAGGATAAAAGGACCCCTGACCATTAGGTCCAGTCGTGACCGACTCCGGGGTTGCGGCGCTCATCTCGCTTTTGGCCAAGGGAGTACAGCTTCCGGGTCATGTGGCCAGCATGACTAAGCTGCTTCTGATGAACCAGAGCAGCACATGGAAACACTGTTTACCTTCCCGCCAGAGCGGTACATATATATCTACTTGTACTTTGACGTGCTTTGGAACTGCTAGGTTGGCAGAAGCAGGGACCGAGCAACGGGAGCTCACCCCGTCGTGGGGATTCGAACCGCCAACCTTCTGATCAGCAAGTCCTAGGCTCTGTGGTTTAACCCACAGCGCCACCCGCGTCCCATTTATACTTCACCAAAATCCAAGCTGAATAAAAATGACTTGCAGCGCTACTGCCGAAAGATGCATAGGATACATTCAGCTATAACACTGACTATTAACCAAGGCTAGGCAAATTAATTTGTGCATGAGCTATGTGCCATTGTATTTAGCCCACACACTCGCACCTTTCAGTGAGGAAGCAAACAATGAAAAGGCTGGCTTAGTGTTACATCCAAAGCTGTGCTCATTTGTTTCTTCTAAGCAAATTGTGATTGGCGAGCTTGTCCTAGTCTTCACTGCCATGGTTTGTGAGCAACCACAAGCTGCTGGTTCAGAAATAACACTAGGACAGCTGCTCTATGGTTTGTTTCCCCTTCATTCTGCATCCAAGTGTTAATGGTGCTGCTCTTTCCCTCTTCTTATGCTGCCAGTGTTGTGCTCTGCCAGTCTTTGAACACCACAATGGAACAGGATGCTCTTTGCTACTTGATGCACATGGAAGCATCTATCAAGTCAACATATGGAACAGACATATCTCTTTCCATTTAAAACAGATGTGTACTTTTCATAAAGGTCATCAGCATGGCTGATTACTGGGGGGTGGGGGGAATTGCTGTAATGAAAAACATTCAAGCTACAGACACATGGAAAACATTCTTATTCAATTCTCTCTCTCTCCAGGAAGTTTGACAAAATGCATTTAGAGAATCCTAGGAATGTTGTTCTATCTTTATGTATATGTAAAAGAACTGCCAGCGATGGGATTGGCAGCGTTTTTCAATTGGCTCGTGTGCCCTTGCCAGTATAGCAAAAGGAACAAAGGTGAATAAACACAAGTGAGATTTCATTAGAATACTTTCTTTCATTAGAATACTAAGAAGAAATGTCAAGTTGTTTTTATAGGACAATCTTTTCTCATTGCTGTTTGGTGTATCTTGACTTGCACCAATTATGAACATATGAAGGTGCTTGAGATCCTTGTTCTCTCTAACCTGTGTCAGTCTCCCAATATTTCAGGCCCAAAGCTATGTGAGCTCTTTAGAACCTGGGACCTTCTACATGTAACCTATGGCCCAGTTTGCATGTCACAATAAACCATAATTTAGTAGCGCAAAGGAAATAAACCACAATCTCAGTGTTAACAGTGTGTAGGGTAGGAGCAGAGGGGGTATTTCACTCCCAACAAACCACAGTCTGTTGTGAAGGTTTGATCTTGGCTTACTGATTGTGTTTTCTATGGGTGAAATAAACTGTGGCCCCTGGTTCAGACATAATACTCACCCAGGCATAATGATTTGTTTCCTCCTTGTGCTAGCAGGGAGGAGCTAGAGCAGCCTTATTGGTTTGTTCACAGTAAACCACTAATTATATATTGGCATGATGTGTTAAGGGACGTGGGCGGCGCTGTGGGTTAAACTAAAGAGCCTAGGGCTTGGTTGGCGGTTCAAATCCCTGCGAAGGGGTGAACTACCGTTGCTTGGTCCCTGCTCCTGCCAACCTAGCAGTTCGAAAGCAGGCAGTGCAAGTAGATAAATAGGTACCACTCCGGCAGGAAGGTAAACGGCGTTTCCGTGCACGGCTCTGGTTCGCCAGAAGCGGCTTCGGCATGCTGGCCACATGACCCAGAAGCTGTACACCCACTCCCTTGGCCAGTAAAGCGAGATGAGCGCCGCAACCCCAGAGTCGTTCGCGAGTAGACCTAATAGTCTGGGGTCCCTTTACCTTTTACCTATGATGTGTTAACTGAGCCAATGGCAGACCTTACTTGCTCTGAAATGGTAAACCTGAGGTCGAGGGGCAAGCTACATGTTACATTCAATGCACAACTATTGTTTGTTTCAAAAATGCCATAGGCAGCACACAGGGAAAGGCTTAATTCCTTTCCCTTGGCTTTAGTTCTTCCACCCCAAAACACTGTTTGCTTTTAACTGATAAGCAGAAAGTGGTGTAATGCTAAAATTAAAACCAGTGTGGTGCAGTGGTTAGGGCACTGGGCTAGGATCTGGGAAGCCAGGTTCAAATGCCCACCCAGCCAATAAAATCAATGGGTGATCTAGGGCAAATCACTGCCTCTCAGGAAGATCTGGTCACTAGGCTTTTAGGAAACAGCTAGTTTCCATCCCAGCTGTTATGTCTAAAGAAGTTGTAACATTAAGAATTTGTTTGTTTTCGTCTTTTCTCCCCAAACCTCCCCCCCCTCCATTTTGTGTCCCATCTTTTCAGACTGTAAACCTGAGGGCAGCAGATGTGCTGTTTTCATTTATCAGTAAACCACTCCGGAAACTTTCTGGCTGAAGAGTAGAGTATAAATGCTTCAAATAAATAAATACTACCACATTTGATTTGGCATAAGCTTCTGCGGACAAGAGATTATTTCATCAAGTGCATGGAAGGCTGTCTTCGGTTGCCATCAGTGCATTATGTAGGTGATGAAGTGGTCTTTGGTCCACGGAGGTTAATCCTATATTTGCTAGCCTTTAGGGTACCACAGGGTCTCTCCCACTCCCTCCCTGGTTTATGTTGTGCAACACTCACCTGAAATCTATGGGCTAGATTTAGACAAAGGCTGCAATCTGGGAGAAAGTGCTGTTAAACCCAATGAGTTCTAAGCAGACATTAATATTATTACTTGAACTAAGGTCCTAATATACTTAATGGGACAAATTAGTCATGACTTAAGTCCCACTGATGTCAGTGGGAACTATCTGCACACAGTATCCTGCGTCTGCTCAGAAGCCCCATTAAGTACAATAAAACTCATTCCCCAGTTAAATCAGCCTGGATCCAACCTCATGTGTCTAAGATTGCAGACTCAGAGACACCTTTAAATCCCAGTGAAATCAATGCCCAATAAGCATGCATCTAAGAGGCTATGCACTGTGAAAGCCAGTTCAAGGGCGAATTCCAGACAGGCAAAAACACACAGGGCAGGGCTGGTGAGGTGTGGCTGAGGTGTAGCCAGCTGAGAGGGGTTTGGAGGGCCACATGGGCATAACTAGGTTAGCGTGTAAGCGTATCATATTACATACTCATTTCCTTACATTTATACCCCACTCTTCTTCCTTTCAACCTAGAACCAAGGCAGCGGTCTCCCAGGCTTTAGGCTTCCTTAGACCCAGGTTCAAATACTGCGCTCCCACAGAGAAGTCCCTCCTCTCTCAGCCTACTACCCTAACGCGCAGATTTTACCCTAGTGTAGCAGATTTTAAGCGGAGAGGGAGCCACCATATCCTTGACGGAGAGGCTCCTTAACAGGCCCGAGCGCGGGCATTAGGGGGGAAAAGGTTCCGGGGCTGAAACCGGGGACAGACAGCTCTTTTGGTCCGTCGAGGTAAAAGCAAGCCCTGCCCAAAGGCAGGTGGTTTGAGAGGCATCACCCCCTCTCTGCGCCAGCTGGAAGAAACCCCCCTAAGGGCGGGTGTGGATGTCTGGCAGCAGTTCTGCCGAAGCCACGACGGCGCGGGCCACGTCTAGACGAGGCTGCAGAGGCTCAACTTCTCGCGGCAGCGGCCGGAGGCTCCTTTTCTTTCCCGAGCGAGGCGCCGCCTCTTTTCCCTCCTCCTCCTCCTCCTCCTCCGTCTCAAGGCTCTCGCCAACCTCCTTTCGGAAGATGGCCGGGCTAAACAGCAAGACCCACGCAGCGGAGGCGCCGAGAAGCAGCGGCCGAGGGGTCGTGGTAAATGCAATAAAATAAAATAAAAATAAAAATCCCTTCTCCCCCTTCCCTGCTCCCGCATCCTAAGCTTTGCTGCCTCCCTTCTGCAGCTAAAGCATCCGCTTCCGTCAGCTAACCCCTTTCCCTCCCTTTCATCTATCCAATCCCTGCCCTTTATGGCGGCTCCCCCCCTCCTGTTATGAAACGCTCCCCGCCCGCCCCCCCAAAAGAATATTTGAATTGCAAGCGGGTTAGTCATTCATTGCGCTCGATGGGGCTCACTCCCTGTCTGCTGTGCTGAGCCCGCTTATCTGGGAGAATACCGCCCCCCCCCATTGAACCCAGTTAGGGTTTACATCCGAGTCAACGTGCATAGATAGGAACTGGGCTGCGCGAGTATGCATTCCGGTACATTGAAATATGATGCATGTTGTTATCACTGTTTTCCATTGGGATTTCCCCCTGGTAAGTATGTGTAGGAAAGCAGCCTTATTGCTAGCCACACACACACACACACACACACACACAAATATTTTGGATGCGATTTCGTTGGGGCTTCTGATACGAGTTTTGGTTAGAGGAGAGTTGTTCCCTCTAGATTACTTGTCACGTTAAGAGTGAAATGCCGCAGCTGCAACTTCCTAATTTCATCTAAAATAGTCTTGTCTTAGTAGAAATCCATTCAGTGCAGCCACCGTCACCCAAAAAACAGCAACGCGTCGTCCTAGCACAGCAAGTAAAGCTTCTGTGGGAGAAAAGCACAACAATACTCTAAATTTTCCTCACTAGGTGCTGTATATGAAAATGTTCATGTTTGTGCATAGCAATCCCTAATTGCAGCCATCAGAATGTATTACCTCACCTGCAGCCATAATTACGGCATGGGGGGGAGGTTTTGGTATTGCTTAGGCTCCCGGATTAGCAGGTTCACAACAGGTGTGCTTAAAAGAATGTTAAGATACAACTAGGTAATCTTAAGGTGTGCATTCTTATCAAACGTTAACTGTTTTCTATTCCTATGTACTCTTCAGGGTGCAGGTAATAAGCACAGCTGCCTTCTGAATAAATAAATCGTTAAGCCCAGTCCTAGGCATGTTTACTCTGAAGTAAAAGTGTTACTTTGGACAATGTTGCTTACTCCCAGGCACATATGCATAGGATTTTACTGTTACTCATGTCTCCAGTTTACTGGTTGTTAATAGCCTAAGACAGTCTTGACCCTAAGCACCCACCTGGCAGACCTAGACAAAAAGGAGTTACATGTACGTGAGGGACTGTGCCCTTCTTCTGCACCTGGTATAGATACCACTTACTATAGGGAAATTATGCTGGGCAAAATAGGCCTTTGTTCTGATCCAGCAAGCCTGCTCTTACGTGCTTTCTCTGCTTTTCTGAAGGGCTTCCCTTGAACCCCTGTCTCCTGTGTTTGCCTTGTCTTAGATTGACAAAAGTGTTTAGGTCACAGAAGGAGGAAGCAAACCTCTGCTTTGGCAGTATTCTATACATGCCCACAGTGTTTTATGACACTTCTGTTCATTTCCTTAAACCAGAGCTAGCCAGTGTTGTTCCTTCCAGATGTTGTTAGACTGCAGCTCCCACCAGACCTCATCATAGGCTGTGGTGGCTGGAGCTGACATGATTTGGGAAGCCTGGCAACATCTGGAGGGCACCATGTTGGCTACCCTTGTTTTAAACTGTCCGAGAGTCCTGGAATTTGGGCACATATAGCAAAGATCTTACGGTACTTGATACAGAATGGTAGATTTGTGTTAGGGGAATGAGATGTATCTTCCCACAAGAGCTGCCTAGAGTGCAAGGATATGTTGCTCCTTTCCACATGTCTTGGCATATTGTAGAAAACTCTGTTATGGTGAATATGTTACCATTCCAAAAAAAGAATACAGTGGTACCTCGAGTTACAGACGCTTCAGGTTACATATGCTACAGGTTACACACTCCGCTAACCCAGAAATAGTACCTCGGGTTAAGAACTTTGCTTCAGGATGAGAACAGAAATTGTGCTCCGGCGGCACGGCAGCAGCAGGAGGCCCCATTAGCTAAAGTGGTGCTTCAGGTTAAGAACAGTTTCAGGTTAAGAACAGACCTCCGGAACGAATTAAGTACTTAACCCGAGCTACCACTGTAATGTTGTTTTTTTACTGCATTTGATTTACCAGACAAATGTCAATCTTTTATTTATGCATTGCCTTCCATGCTTATCTCAAGGCAGTGTACAAAATGCAATAAAAACAGTTTTAAACAATATAGAAAATAGCTGCAAAGTAAAAAAAAAACACACACACACACACACACACACACACACACAAAGACTAAATAGACACCTGTGGCAAGGATCCTTTCATCCTGCTGGGAAGGCTTGTCAGAACAAAAATGTATTCACTTGTTTCCGGAAAGGGCAGAATGTGGGATGCCTGTCACATTTTGGCAAGAATGCTGCTTGCACAGAACATGGGCAGCCACACTAAAAGCTCTCCTGTGAGTTACTGCAGACTGGGCTTCTGAGATCTTTGGAACATGTGGAAAGGAGAAGCTTTCCTACAAGGAAAGAGTCTTAATGAAGTCGTAGCATTTCCTACTAAGTCTTGTTCTATGGGTGTAGCCTCACGTACTTTTGATACAGAACTCCTGCACTCTCTTCGGCAGCACATATATTCTAAAACTGGAACGATACAGAGAAGAGGAATGCAGAAGTCCCATGCAAATTTCTACATGAATTGAGTTTGTTGCTGTGTCACTTGTATGCTAATAATCTCTTGCAGAAGGTTACTAGCCTAGATTTTTGACTGGCTCACTCTAAAACGAGGACGAGCAATAAGGGACTAACCCATAGACTTTTGCAGGGTTGTTTTCCGCAGTCATGCAGTTACGGACAAAATGACATTTTAACTTTGAACTTTTGCCCAGATGAACCGTGAAATGATCCTTTCCAGTATCCTCTTGTGAAAGCTGTCCAAGGGAAACTCAGCCAAGGCTGGATGTTCCAGCGCTAGTTCAGAATGCATTCAGAACAGAGCACATACTGATGCTTGGAGGCCAGAAGTAGTCCTCCCTGTTCTTGCTAGAATACTAAAAAGGCCCAAGAAGCACCATGTGATCCCCATGTGATCTTCTGGTTCACTCGCTACCTTCTGTCTGAGGTGAAGAAGAATGTTTGAGCGAGCCAAAGGCCCTCTTCCAAGCACAACCCAAGTAGATTCCTGCAGAGAGATAGATTGTCGCTGCATGCCCAAAGACTAATTTGCTAGGACTTGAAGCCAGAGAGAACTTTTCACTCTCGTATTTTTTTTTAGAAGAGGGGTAGCAGAAACAACAAAGAGTTTTATGGCTCCGTCAAGACCAAACACGTATGCTACGGCATAATTTTTTGTGGGCTACAGCCCACTTCAAGCGGTGAATCAGGTTGCATCTGATGGGAGAGGGCTGTCGTCCACAAAAGCGTAAGCCGTAAGAAATGTGTTTAGCCCTGAGAATGCCACAAAACACCACTATTTATTGTTGTCTCTTTTGTTCTAGGTTAACCCACTTAGATCATTTCTTAGAAACAAGGCTTCCTATTAAAACAAGGCTGAGGAACCTTCCCCCCCCCCTTCAAACCCAGCAATATGCTGGCAGTGGGTTGGAGGAGGGACAGGGATGGGCAAGGCCACCCCTTTTCACTCCCTGCCCACCCCCCACTTCAAATCTCCTTTGTTCTCTTTGCCCAGCAAACTACCAGGAGAGCAGCAAATCAGTCTTGCCAGAAATGTGAATCAATTGCTTGCATAAAAAAAAAAGGTAAAGGGACCCCTGACAGTTAAGTCCAGTCACAGACGACTCTGGGGTTGTGGCGCTCATCTCGCTTTACAGGCTGAGGGAGCCGGTGTTTGTCTACTCCGCAGACAGTTTTTCCAGGTCATGTGGCCAGCATGGCTAAGCCGCTTCTGGCGCAACAGAACACCGAAACCAGAGCAGTGCACGGAAATGCCATTTACCTTCCCGCCGGAGCAGTACCTATTTATCTACTTGCACTTTTTGGGATGGTTTTGAACTGCTAGGTTGGCAGGAGCTGGGACCGAGAAACAGGCGCTCACCCTGTTGCGGGGATTCGAACCGCCAACCTTCTGATCGGCAAGCCCAAGAGGCTCAGTGGTTTAGACCACAGCGCCACCCGCGTCCCTAATCACTTGCATAGGGGTTCCATTAGTTTCAGTGTTTTTTGTCTCCCCCCCTTTCTGGGCTTCCCTCCCAACATGAAATTAGGGTGATGGTTGCAAGTTCCCCACCTCTGTGCTGAAGGATCAAGCCATGCTAAGGTTTACATGACTGCTTCTGCTAAACCGATTGCCAAATGGTGTTTAAACACAGATGATGCAATCAAAATTAAGTTTCTAATGAACATTTTATCTCTTTTACAGATTTCAGATGATTGGCCTGGGTATAGTTTGGAACTGTTTACATATCCACAACACTACTATGGAGATCTTGACTATGTGCTCATACCACATGGGATCATTGTGGACAGGTGAGGGTCTGAGAGTATGACGTTTATGAAAGCTACATGTTCAGTTCCTCCCAAGGTAGGAACATAATGCTTGCTAAAATATTGACACCCCAATTTAAGCTGTAATGCTTATTGTAACAGGAAGCCTAAAAGCTCGCTCTCTTCCTAGCCTGGGACCAGGAATAAGTTCCCGTCTCTCTCTCAGCTGGACTATGGTGTTATCAGCTCTGCTTTCCCCTCTGACCTTGAGGCAAGGTCTGCAAGATTCGGGACAAACAAACAGAAATACCTTTTCACACAGGATGTAGTTAAATTGTGGAATTCTCTCCCACAAGAGGTAGTGGTGGCCAGCATCTTGGGTGGCTTTAAAAGAGGATCGGACGAATTCACAGAGGGTGGGGCCATTCATGGCTGCTAGCCACAACGGCTGTGTTCCACAGTCAAGGAATTGTTGTTGTTTAGTCATTTAGCTGTGTCCGACTTTTCGTGACCCCATGGACCAGAGCACACCAGGCACTCCTGTTTTCCACTGCCTCCTGCAGTTTGGTCAAACTCATGCTGGTAGCTTCGAGAACACTGTCCAACCATCTCGTCCTCTGTCGTCCCCTTCTCCTTGTGCCCTCCATCTTTCCCAACATCAGGGTCTTTTCCAGGGAGTCTTCTCATGAGGTGGCCAAAGTATTGGAGCCTCAACTTCACGATCTATCCTTCTAGTGAGCACTCAGGGCTGATTTCCTTCAGAATGGATACATTTGATCTTCTTGCAGTCCATGGGACTCTCAAGAGTCTCCTCCAGCACCATAATTCAAAAGCATCAATTCTTTGGCGATCAGCCTTCTTTATGGTCCAGCTCTCACTTCCATACATCACTACTGGGAAAACCATGGCTTTAGCTATATGGACTTTTGTTGGCAAGGTGATGTCTCTGCTTTTTTAGGGTGCTGTCTAGACAGTCAAGGAAGCACACTCCTAAATACCAGTTGCTGGAAGTTGCAGGTGGGGAGAGGACATCTGATTGGCCACTGTGAGAACAGAGCGCTAGACTAGATGGGCCTTGGGCCTGATTCAGCAGGCTCTTCTTTATGTTGTTAGGAGTATAAAGATGAGGGAGCATCCAGCCCCAGACCTGCCCCTAAGGGAGCAGGGCCTTCTTGCTTTTCTCCAATTCCCCCTCAGCATGAATGAGCAGCATGAAATTAAAGACATCTAGGCATGGTGCAGTCGCAAATGCACATTGCCCCCTGGCAGCTAATTTTAAGAGGATTCATTAAAAACCAGGCTTAAGGGAGCCAAAAGGAGAAAGCAGAAGGGCATATGGAATACGCTGGAGAAACAGTCCATGTTTGTGTAACCCAATGCAATTATTTACAAACAAGCTTCTGGTCCCCGCATGAGTAGTATCATGGCTGGTCAAGAGGACAGTGAGAGACAACGGACTATGGCCAACATTCAAAGGGATAATTATTGCCAGATTTTGCCTGGGAGATGACAGGCTTCCTTCAGCTTGTGTATCGTGGGCTTGGCCAGAGTTACCTGGTCTGCCAACTGCTAGGAAATGGAAGCTGAGCGACCTGGAAGTGTTTAAACAGACAGGCTGGGAGTAGGCCACAACTGCACCATGGTTACCGCAGTTACTGGTATGTAAGCTCAGTTGAAATTGGGAAGATGTGTTTCCACATAACTCTTTAGGGTGGAGATGCTGAATACCCATTCAAGAAGGTGGACTCAGTGACACATTTATGCAGCTCTGGTAAAGACAGGGTACTTTCCTGGTATTGCATGGATGGGTACAGATTTTTAAGTCTTGGTTCTTTGATTATTTCATCTATTCATATACGATACATCTTGATTTATTTATATACTACTTAATGCCAAAAGTAGGCTTCCAAGCTTTTCTCATTTCCTGTGCTCAGTAATTACAAGTTGTGACTTGTTTAAACTAGATACCTGTAACCAGTGCTTTTTTTCTAGAAAAATAGGTGCCGGTACTCACCATGACGTTGTTACAGTAAGTGTCACATTTTTTAACCAAAAGAGAGGAAGGTGCTGGTACTGTGTACCCTTGAGTACCCCTTGGGAAAAAATGTAACCCTTCTTCTTAATGAGATGGTTACTATTCTGCATCTAGCTAACATTCAGATGTTATGGCTATTTTTATGTGGCCTGTGCTAACCATGGTTGGCGCTTGCAGATGTACAACAGGCAAACCATGGTTTAGAGTGGCTTGCCCACTTTCATTTTTCACCCTTTCAGCACTCAGCTTGATAAGTTCTTAACTGAGACTTCTTCAAAGTTGGTTTAGGGGACAGAATGTAGGACTAGGGACCGGAAGACATTCAGTACACTGAATGACACATCACCAGTCACTGTCTCTAAGCTGGATTGTTGCGAGGATAAAATGTTGGGGTGCAGTGGGGGCATATATGCTGCCTTGAGCTCCTTGGAGGAAATGTGGAATAGAAAATAAATAAATAATTTTATATAATTTAATCTGTATTTTCTTCTTCGTCCAAGGAAGAACAGCAATTATACCCATCCAACAGCCCTGTGAAGTAGGCTGTTCAGAGAGACTATTATATTCCAAAGGCATAGAGCTGAGTTTTATAGCTGAATATGGATTTGTACCTGCATTTTCCGCATCCATACCCAACACTCTAGCCAGCTACCTTTAAATATAAATACGAGCTTTAATGAGAAGCTCTGGCAAATTATATCTTTGTTATTCGTAGCTGGGGATTGTTAACTGCTAAGCTGTCACCTAGAATAAAGTTTAAATACTTAATTTCTGAGATGTTTTGAATGCTAAAGCTGAAATAGCTTCAGGGCTAGAATGTCACTGGAAATCATTCAAGGTGCACATTGTAGTCCTCAGAATAGCAAAAGGGTTAGGAAAATGAGGAGATCTTAAAAGACAATTCAGCACCTCCTTCTGCATAAAAATAACAGCAACCAGAGGTCACTAATCCCCTTACTGGGTAATCAACATATTTTAAATGCCTGAATTAGCAGGTGTGGAAAAAGAACTTCAGCTGTGAGCGAGCAATTGTAATTTCCGCAGCAAAAAAAATTAACAAGCTGCCAAGAAATCAGCTGCCAAGAAATCGCCACACACCCTTCATGAAATGATTGCCTGTGTGTGAAATATGTGTGAGCATTCTACTGAGTTCTGGATCTTTTGGATCAGGACACCGGAAGGATAGCCTTCACCTGGATTATGTCCACCTGGACCTTCAGATCCTCTGTAGAGACCCTCCTCTATGTGCTGAGTGGGGTTTGCAACTAGAGAGAAGGACATATCTGTGGTGCCACCCCAATTGTGAAATACTTACCCCAGAGAGGCTCACCTGATGCCATCCCTATGGTCTCCTTTTGGTGCCCAAGTGCAGACCTCCTCATTCACCCAGGTCTTTTTGAAGCAACTTGCATTTAAAGAGAGAGTGTTGTAAACCTGGTCTTCCAGTGGCTGGGTTGAGTTCTGTTCTATTTTCTACTCCAAACTGGTTGGTTTGGAAGGAAAGTGTTGTGCTACTTTCTATGGTTTCCAGTATATTTTAATTAATTTTGTGTGTGTGTGTGTGTGTGTTTATTCTGTTGCTTATGCCGAAGGGAAGTCATATAAATTCAGCAATAAATAAAATAAGTACAGAAGATCCCAGGAACTTTGTGGCTAGGCTTTCTGGCTCTTTTGCTTGTCCTGCACACATGGAACTTGGTTTTTTTCCTTACATGTGCCTTGATATGTTGCTAATATTTGTACATTAAAAAAATCCAGTTGCACCAGAATTTGGGTGGCGATGCTCATTTGAATACCGATGTAGTCTATTTGCACCGAATTACTTTAAATAGGATGCACATTCAGACGCCCATCTCCACCCACATTCTGGTGCAACTGATCCTGAAGTTGAATCCTGAAATGAGACCTTGAACTTTACTATTTTTGTATTGCACCATAGAATATACTTGCATTGAAAAATCCCAAGTCTTACCATATATTTATCCTTAATTTTTGCTTTAGGACAGAATGTTTGGCCAAAGATATCATGCAAGACATTGGATACAATGACATTGTAGTTCTCTGTGTACTTAAAGGTGGCTACAAATTCTGTGCTGACCTTGTGGAGCATATTAAGAACCTCAGTAGAAATTCAGAAAGGTTCATCTCCATGAAAGTTGACTTTGTCAGACTGAAAAGTTACCTGGTAAGTAATGATTTTGCTTACTTAAAGAAAAAGAAAAAAAACATTGTGAGTTGAATGTGGTCTGATTACAGTTTGTATACATGGATTTTTATTTTTTTTAAAGGCAAGCATCAAAGTCCAACCTTCCCAGTTTTTGCTGTTGCAGGCTTCAATGAATAAACTGATGTAATGTAATGAATTAACTTTTCTCCTTTCGTGAACAGAACAGGAATTTGGGAGATGACACACTCAACTTAAGGTCTGGTTGATTTTTTAAGGATCCTAAATGATTTACTCCACTACAGCTTTATTGCATCCATTATTCCTTCTCTCTCAGTGAAACTGAACCAGCCAACACAAAGTTCCATTTTTAATAATAATAATAATAATAGTAGTAGTAGTAGTAATAATAATTTATTATGTATACCCCACCCATCATTGCAGGATTTTAATGTTGGCTTTATAGAGAGAGAAAGGGGGGGAAACTATCCCCAGAGTCCCTTGGGTCAATTAGTTCTGTTTAAGCCTATTTAAGACCACAGCATAGATGTGCCTTAGGTTTGAAGCAAGACTCAAGCCAAAATCCAAAGAAAGCGTGGAACTGGATCCATGAGTGGTGGAGGTGGGACTGAGATCTGACACTTGTTTCTCTTACACAGCACCATCCACACACCCAGTAGCAAGTGGCTAAGGAACAGGGAGGAGTTTCTAAAGCAGTTTGTGATATGACATGTGGTTCCACAGATGTTTGGAGAAACAATGCGAGCAATTCTACCATGCTAGCACAAGCCCCTTGGGCAAACCAGAGCAGCACTTTTGGATCTTTGCCATTTTTTACAGCGAACTATTTGTTTTTGTCGTGAATCCTTATAATAGAAGGAACAGGAAGGTAGAAGCATCCCACCCACAGGGCTGGCCCCAGACCAAATGCAGGGAACATCCCCACCAGCCCCCTCTCTGTGTTCAGGTTTTGGGATGTCTTGTTTTTTATTGGATTCATAGTCCATTTCACGACTCGGCACAATTTGCAATCATGCAATTTGCACCCACAGTTCTTGTGGATCAGGAACTAGTTAAGTTAGCAGGGAGCAAAGAGTAGGATGGAGCTCAGAAAATGAAGTGTTCCCCCCTCCCCCCAAGGATCTGTATTCATCATCATCATCAAACCTTTACAGTGGTACCTCAGGTTACATACGCTTCAGGTTACAGACTCCGCTAACCCAGAAATACTACCTCGGGTTAAGAACTTTGCTTCAGGATGAGAACAGAAATCGTGTTCCGGCGGTGCGGCAGCAGTGGGAGGCCCCATTAGCTAAAGTGGTGCTTCAGGTTAAGAACAGTTTCAGGTTAAGAACGGACCTCCGGAACGAATTAACTACGTAACCAAAGGTACCACTGTATTGGCATCACATACAAACATTCAGAATAAATAGGCCAGGGCGATCTCGTCGCCATTTCAACAGTACAGTCATTTGCCAAAGGGAAGAAGAGGTGAGAAAGATCTGTATTCGAACCTGTGCTTTTTAAGCAGTGATGTGAACAAGTTTGCCGATGATACTAAGTTGTTCAGGGTTGTTAAAAGAAAAGAAAAAGGATTCTGAAGAACTCTGAAAGGACCTCTCCAAATGGTGAATGGGCTTTAAAATAGCAAACACAATTCATTGTAAACAAGTGTAAAGTGATGCATGTCAAAAAATATTAAATTCACATATATATTCACGAGGTGTTAACTGGCAGCAATTGACAAGGAGCAAGACTTTGGAGCTGTAGCAAATAGGTCAGGGGAGATGTCAACGCACCATGCAGTAGCTGTGGAAAAAAAGGCAGATTCTATGCTGAGGGATCATATTGAAAGGAACTGAGAATAAAATTCCTGACATCATTAATGCCACATTTGGAATGCTGTGTACCATTCTGGCTGCCTCACCTCATAAAAAGAGAAATGGGAAAGTTGGGAAAGGTTCAGAAGTGGGTAACCCAAATGATGGATGGAGCAAGTCCTCTAGGAGGAACGGTTGCGGCATTTGGGCCTTTTTTAGTTTAGGGGAAAGGCAAATAAGGGGTGACATGATAGAAGAGCATAAAATTATGCACGATGGAGAGAAAGTGGCTGGAGAAAACTTGTTCTCCCTCTCATAACACTGGAATGCGTGGACACCCAATGGAAGCTGAATGTCGAGAGATTAAGAACAGGCCCCCAAAAAAGTACATTTACTCACCCAGTGCATAGTTAAACTATGGGATTCACTCCCACAGGAGACAGTGATGGCTACCAATGTGCATGGCTTTAAAAGAGGATTAGACAAATTCGTGGTGGTAAAGACTATCAGTGGCATAGCTGTCAACTTTCCCCTTTTTTTAAGGAAATTCCCTTATTCCGAATAGGATTCCTCGCAAGAAAAGGGAAAAGTTGGCAGCTATGATCAGTGGCTTCTAGACAGGATGCTCCTAAATGCCAGTTTCTGGAAACTGCAGTCGGGGAGAAGGCTCTTGTGCTCAGGTCTTGGTTTCAGGCTTCACGCAAGCATCTGGTTGGCCGCTGTGAGAACAGCATTCTGGACTAGATGGGGTATTGACCTCTTCCAGTAGCCTCTTCTTATGCTTATCTCTGTCATAATAGGGTTAGAAAGTTGCACATATGAATTGATTCCAGTTGTTTACACACACACCCCACACTCACATTCACTGTCCCAGTAAATAATAATAATAAAACATTAATATCAATATTAATATTAATATTAATATTACCCTGCCCATCTGGCTGGGTTTCCCCCACTACTCTGGGTGACTCCCAACAGAATATTAAAGACACAATAAAAAATCAAATATTAAATGCTTCCCTAAACAGGGCTGCCTTCAGATGTCTTCTAAAAGTCAGATAGTTGTTTATTTCCTTGACATCTGATGGGAGGGTGTTCCACAGGGCGGGTGCCACCACTGAGAAGGCCCTCTGCCTGGTTTCCTGTAACCTCACTTCTCACAGTGAGGGAACTGCCAGAAGGCCCTCAGAGCTGAACCTAAGGCTGAACGATGGGGGTGGAGACGCTCCTTCAGGTATACTGGGCCAATGCCATTTAGGGCTTTAAAGGTCAGCACCAACACTTTGAATTGTGCTTGGAAACATACTGGAAGCCAATGTAGGTCTTGCAGTTCACATCTAACGCCAAGCCAAACCATGGCTAAGTGCGAAGGAGGAACTTGCTGTCAAAATCATGGCCGTTCCTCCCCGGTGCTGCTGCACTGCAGAGTGCTATATCACAGTTTGGCTTAGTGTTACATTCGAAATCCAGGCTCACGGTTTCTATGGTTAATGAGACAACTGGTTAACTAGATAGCTGGAGACAGATTCTTCCCCTTGTCTTCTCAGGGGTCACCTGGGTCACCACCTCATAAATCCTGCCCTGCACCCAACACTGGGCAGGAGGTGAAGATAGCCATCTTACACTCCCCAGGAATGCATCCTATTTTCTGCCAACTCCAGGGTGGTGGAGGGCTGTGTTCAGTTTCTTCACCAATGGTTGTATGGACACATTTATTATCAACCAGAACCAATGCTGGTATCAGCCTGGTTATGGATATCCCTTTCAGTTGCTTTTCATTATTTTTCTGTGTGGGATCAAACCTTCTTGCTTTCCTTGCTCTGTTTTTCCATTGCATTTTAACATCTCAGTTTTATTTTTATCTAATTCGCTTTCTGGGGCCAGATAGTGGTTTTCCTTGAACGCATTTACTCCCCAACCCCGCCATTCTCTTCCAGCTTCCCCCTTACTAACCATTTCCTGTTTCTCTTTCTCTCTCTCTCTTTCTCTCTCTCTCTTTTCCTTAAGGGAGTCCTGCTGCTTTCTGTTCCCTTTCCATGCAGCTGTGCTCTCTTCTGTCTCCAACTGTTTGTCTCGGAGAGCCATGTCCAAGTCTTGTAAACACTGGTGGGATTCTGATGTCTTTTCTTGCTCCACGTTCAGCATTCATGGCTAACAGGTTAGTTCATCGTAGACAATGGTAAATGGAAGCAGGGTGGGGGAGATAATCTGGATTTAACCGCTTAGGAAATACGCTACAAAGTTTTAGTGCAGCCCCCCCCCACCTTCTTTTTTCTTCCTGTGTGCAAGGAGAGGTTTTTGGAAACTGCCAACGCTTGCTACCTTACCAACACAGCCTGACAGAAAGCCTTGGCTGCAACCCACAGCAAGCAAACACATCAGAACAACGCAACTCGGCCAGGCTTTCTCCTGCTTTCTCAATACCGGACACAAAGGCAAGCGCTGGACAGTTTCAAAAGCCGTGCAGGGGGGCAGGCAGTTTGAATATAATTTCTTTGTGCGCATGCAAATGGAGTCCTTTTGGATGGCAGGTACCGCCTGAGCCGATGGAGGTTCCATCTGCCTTCACAAGTATATAAAAATTCCAGCTAGAGCCAAAACTGCTCATAGATGGTGGTTTTGCAAAGAATTTCAGTTGAAAAACACCCCCCCCCAAAAAAGCCCATAACCCTTGAAAAGTTTTTCAGCACTCCTTTTTTCATGTTCATTTGTGAAACCCTCCACTTTCTTTGCCTATTTTTTAAAATTGATTTTTGAAAATATGGTCAGACGAACCATATATTCTCCTGCCTTTCTTCACCCCCACCTTTCAGTGTGGCCCACAGTGAGAAGACGGGGGAAGGGGGCAATCATGTGTATGCATTTGACTTAGCTCTGTATTATGATGCTATGGCTCTGGTGCCAGGCTTGTATTGTTTTTAATCTCAAGTGCCTTCACTTGCCCTCAGTGACATCTTTATATAGCTCAATCTGATTGGTTACATAGATTGTGACAACTTCCTCATTCACTGTGTGATCCCTGATGGGCTAGAATCGCCCGGGAAGGAGGAAGAACCACAGAGTATACGACATAAAAGTTTTGAGAGAAAATGTCTACACAGCTAGTACTGCAAGGTGAAAACTAGAAATCAAAACTGGGAAATACTCGTTGCAGTTCCATCCTCAAACATCATCGTGGATTTCTCGCTCGTTTATACTCAG